TCTTGCTGAATTAGCCAGAAGTGATTTTTATGGATTCGTTTCTTCACTTTTCCCTATTTTAGGCCGTTGAACCATATACATGTACGTCAATCTTCGTCTGGATTAAGAAACAGTAGATTTTGGACTTGGGCTGCATTGAAAACGCGTGAATGTGTAACGAAAGAAAGGCATTAACAAACAAGAGAGACGACTATTACGAAAAATAGAGTAAAAGTATGTAGTCATTTGTCGCCAACTGCAATAATGTCAAATGTCATATGACTTAAATTACAGACATAAAACGTTGATAAAATTGATTCCCATTGATACAAAAAAAATGAGGGAAAAGAATGTGTTACAAAACCCGAAACATTGTCTGTAGCTCGACATGCCAATCTGAGGCAAAACCGAAAGGGTTGCACCTGTGATATTTTCCCATTTTCAGCACGAAACCCAACACCGTCGACTTTGTCTGTGAATGTTCACATTCTGAATAGAGTGGCTATAGTCGGGAGACACTGCTAATCAAGCTTGAACGCCACAGCTCCGCATAAAATTCATTGCCGTGAAATCAGTCGCGAAAATATGGATACTCATGCGAATAAAATTACTCGTTTGCATTTTAAGCTCTGCGATTTTTCTTTAAAGCAGGAGAACTGAGCATAAACGTTCGGTCAATAACCGCAATTTTTTTGACATTTTAATTAAACTTCATAAATTCAATAAGTATAATTCATACCTGACTGAAGCAAGTTAGAAAAGTGTATGATTTATGGATTGAATTTACGCAATGACCATTTTGACCTTCAACGTTAAAGTGGGGGAGATCTGAAAAGATGCTGTCGTCAAGAAACGGGCTGATGCCTGTGACGTGAATAGTAAACTTCATGTAACCTTTTGACGTAAAGTCAAGGGGCACGACAATGTGTGCGGTATGGAGATGCCAACCTTTGCACTCAAGCACACGTGATTGGCAATGTCAAATCTAGTACCGAGCCTTCAGACACGACAATTATACGCGTAATGTATCCGTGTAAAAAGGAACCATAAGGCCAACAAAAAAAGTATCCGGTTTCTGGTATGCGCGCGCGTCGCCGTAGCCATGCGCGTCGGCAAAATAAAAAAAGGTTTTTTTTCAATGAAAGATGATGTCTCAAAACCGCCAAACTCACTGGTTTGACTGGAATCTTGCTGCTGCACAATTTTAACGTGTTTTTAGATTGGGTTATGGTCGAGAATAAGCTTTATGTGGCCTCTCTGGACTCCCATATATTTGCACTAAGTTTAGTCGACCCATTTGCAGTCATCGGCACACATTATGAAGCAAAAAAATCAGGTAAAAAAAAAAAGCCGCGTCGCCGCACCACTTTTTGGGCAAGCTCCATACCAAAACCGGAGACTTTTTTTTTTGGCCTAATGGGACCTACAATGTTTCTGCGATTATGGGATGACGAAAACATATCTAAGATGCCTTTCTGTGATTCTGTGCACTACGTCTTTTCGCTTCACAAGTACCGTTAATTTTTCTTACACCAATGAACTGTAGAATTTGTCAAACTGAGATAAGAAATATACCTTCCAAAACGAAGCGTTCCATTCAGATATGTTTCCGAGGTACTGTGCAGTCTGTACCTGGTTTCTAACATAAAGAGTCGTGGAAAGATTGAATATGAAATACTGAACACGTTTCCCTTGAGTACCCATCGAGAATTACCACACACACATCCGTGCTCTTTCCGATGAGAAGACCAACCCCACCGACTGGAAATATCTCCCATTTTCACTCCATTTTTCTCGTTGAGACAAGATGAAATCAACCGGAAAGATAACTTTCCATGAAACGTCACATCGGAAGATGTCTAAATTACGAAGTTTTGCCCTTTTTTTGTCCATAGCACTTTGTACACGTTTTTCTTCTTATCGGCACTTTGGGCACTTTTATCAGTTCGATTGACTTTAAACTTAGCAGAGATATCAACCATGCTAACTGTAGATCTTGTATCAAAGACACTAAGAATGTAGAATCTCGACTTTATCACTTCACATGGGGCCATGATGTCCCTTAAAAGAATATTGTCCCACATAGGTTCCTGTAGAGTTGTGGATTTTGGAGGAGTCCGAAAAGCTGTAAAATATATAGACGACCGTGCGTCTAAGGGACATTTCAGAGACATTTAAGCGGTCTCAGTTTTAAGTTACTTTTGATAATCTCAAAAACGCAGAAATACGGATGTCAATTTAAGCTTCGTCAGTTTTCTACCTTTCCAGGAGTGTTGAATACCAGATGAAGCCTTCGGAGGAAGATGTCTTCATTAACTCCGTTTTCCATCTCTATAGAATCACAGTACTTACTAAACTGAGCTGCGTTTCTTTATGAAAGAAATCTCAAAAAGACAGCTTATAGATATGAGGATGTCCAGGTTTTTCGTCACTTCGTGAAAATCAAAGGATAGGCACTTTAAGTTATTTCTGTATAGTTCACGCCGCAGACATCGAGGTGACTGGCGCAAATCACTACCGAGCGCGCAGTCAAGGCGTGAAGGGCACCGATTCCCATCCGGGCATTAACGGCCCGAGTGTGAAAACAGACTGCATTACTGAAATGAGCTGTAGGTTCGAGTTTCCCTGCCAGTATCTTTCAACTATAATATGCTGGAGCTTAAATTATAAGTCTGAACAGAAGAACTTTATCGCTATATGAACTGTGGTAACCGTAATCGTTATACATCGGGGACTGTATGTGTCTCGCCTGGTAGCCCACTGTGTAACTGAAATCGTGTGTGATGAGAGATACAATATCCAAAGTTGTTGTATGATATCCCGTAATATCAAGCGTCCATTACAACGTAAATAGATCAACTCTCTACAAATTGGTATACATGTATAATGTCATTTCCATTATATTGCACTGCTGTAATGTAATTCGTACTGTTAAATTGTTATTTTGAGTTCTGCTTTTATCAAAACTGTAACCCGTTTAGTTTAGTGAACTACATTTTAAGTATGAGTTTATCAGTCACGTTTTGTTTTCAAAGTTGATAATAGTTACAATATGATCAGTATATTGACAGGAACAGTTGGTATATGCCCTAAAATAACATATTGTTTGCAAAAAGTATACATTGTAGCTAAATCGGTTCTGACCATAGATATTAAAAGACTAGATCGGCAGCGCGTGCATACGCGCGGCCTTACCTGGAGGGTCACGTGCTGGAGGACAGATACAAAAAAGCGCCACACGTGATGAACGCAATGCCGTTTACGCGCACAATGCGCTGTGCATGTTCAGTCCTTACCTGATTCCGTGGATTTTCCACACATTATTCTTCCGGAGTTTTCCTCCCACCTCTAAAACTGTAATTTCTTCTCATTGTCTTCGCTCTACATGTTTCTTCAGAGCTACATTGCCTGGGACATGCACGTTTGAGGAATCCTTGGTTTCATTACCAGAAATAAAGAAATCAATTAAAAAAAAACGAATCATTTACTTCGTTTCGTATGAATAAAAAGGAGTAAATTCTTCAAATTTCAAATGTGCACTTGTCATTTTGCAATGTTAGGTTCGGGCAACCTTGAGACTATAAAGCAAATACTTATGCGCAAACATTACTGCATTTATTAATGTTAATCGCGAAAAATGAATATTTAAAAAATTCATAAAGTTCAAATGATACCTTGTTCGTATGAATAAAACATGACATTTGCTTTTACTACCACTTTTTAGGCATTTACTCGCCTTTGTACGAAATTAAGCAAACGCTTTTACTGAAAACCATTTGCTAATACCTGAAAATAATCACTTTTTACCTTGTAGCTTATGCTACAAAGTATAAGCGTGTACTTCGGTTCGTATGAATCAAAAGGATTAATGCTTCAGATTTCAATATGCACTTGCCATTTTTTCAAGTATGGGTTTGGGGCAACCTTGAAACTAAAAAGCACAAATTTCTGCGCAACAATTACTGCATTAATTGATGTTCATTGCGTATAATTGATATTAAAAAGTGCTTTAAAGTACAAATGATACCATGTTCGCATGAATAAAACATGGCATTTGCTTTTACTACCATTTTTAGGCATTTATTCGTATCTGTATGAAATTAAGTAAACGCTTTTACTGAAAACCATATGCTAAAATCTCAAAATAATCACTTTTTACCTCTTACCTTTTGCTACCACAAAAATGGCGCACATTCATCACACAGTGAATGGGCGCCTATGCATGCGCTCCTGGTCTATAATCCATATCTATGGTTCGGACTTGCGTTCTAGAGTCGCGCACAGCTCAATCATTCCAAAACGCAAAATCGACGATCTAGAGTGAGAGTGACACATCAAAATATCGACTGTTGTAGTAATTGACCGATCGCGGTAGAATCGCGTTATAATCGCGTCAACGCAGCTTGCGAAATATTGTCCAATTACATGATATACAAATGGACGCGAAACGCGCAAAATCTGAGACAAACAAAATTTAGTGTACAAAACGTCTATAGAGTTGTCTAAGGGGCGTTGCTAACTCGCAAACGGCGACAGGTCAATTCGTGACAACTAAACTAATGGCTCTTGATGTCAGACGTCTCTCTAGTTTTAAAAGTTGCCTCTATGATACCTAAGTTCTGTATGGGCAGGCGCAAGTTGCTCCTTAATTCGTTTTGGTTCGGCATATCTCAGTATCGCAGGGCCGAACGGGGATTAATTCTTGTTTTATTGTCGAATTCATGTACATGTACTCTCTGATTTCCAAAGAGTGAAACACAACTTAGGGTGGACACTACTGTAGTTTAAGATTGAAATATATACTTTGAAATAGAATCCCTCTCGTGGAACCTCGAATGAAAACTCATCTACTCCATTAAAAGAGTTTCACACTAAATCGTCTCGTCCCTATTATTAGTGGGATGAGGTAATCTCATTACAAACATAGTGTGGATTTTAACTCTTTGGAAATAAGGGAGTATGTTTTGAATAACTATAGAATTAATTGATATGAATGTGATATTGTCTTCACCCCCTCCCAGGCCTTACGATGGCATGGTTGGCGGACCCGCCCACCGAAGTCCGCAGTTCTGACAACTTCATTGTGAATTTCACCATTCAAGTGACGGATTCCTTCTTCGAATGGGCGGTGAGAAACGACACGGACTACGCTATAGAGTACAAGCCAGTGTTCCATCCTGATCTCAAATTTAAGTAAGTATAGTGGGGTTTATGACGTGAGTCAGGAAGTTTTGGGTTGGGGTTGGGATGAAGTAGAAGCGGAACTAGGGTCCAATTTGCAGGAGGGGCTGGGGGTTCGGGCGGGGCATTTTTGGGAGGGAACTTGGGAGGGGTTTTTCAACAACGACGTACGTGTGGTTTAGCGGTGGAGCACAGGATTCATGATCGTGAGGTTGTGGGTTCGAGCCCCGCCGTGGCCATGCGTGCTGTGCCCTTAAGTAAGGCGCTTCACCTCAATTACTCCTCTCAACCCAGGTGTTAAATGGGTACCGGCATTATTCAATGCTGGGAAGGTAACAGACACGCTGTGGAGGAGGTGTGGCGATCCCCCCACAGCAGCATATGAGTCTGGCCCAATCACTAACGAAAGAGAGATGGGCGCTCCGTTCCTGTTAACACAGGTTCGTCCCTTTTATCTTAACGTACCTTACAACAACGAAAAACACGGGGTTTTTGCCTTTTTTCAAATCTGAACTTGAGTGCGGCATAGGCCCCATGCCCCCTTGGTAACATAGATGAGAAGGTGTCGAGAAAAAATCTTTGAGAGTAAAATTATCTCTTGAATTTTTAGCATCATACGTTGCATCATCTGGCAAGGACGTAGGATGATTGACAGCCATACCCCGCAACTTTCGCGTTTTGTACAATTTTGAAATTAATATTTGCCAACTGCCAATATGCCCTCACTCAGTCGAAAGTATTTGTAACTTAAAAGTGTTCATTTTTTTCCCTTATTATTTTATATGGACGATATGCAAGAGACCACGGTAATGTTAAATGGGTCAGTTTTCCTAAATTAATTATATTTGGACAAACAAATTCACAGAAATATGCAGTGCAAAAATCGGCAGTGTAAAGAGAGGTTTTGGTTGTATTTTATCGATTCAACACTGATGTGCGTCTTTTTTAATGCACGATTCACTCAGGCATAATGTAGAATTTCCTCTCATAATGTGACCCAAAAATGAGTTGTAGGTCTCTAGAAATACTTTTGAATAAAAAAAAAACATTTAAAGAAAAATACACTAACACTACGGAAATCAATAGTTACAACCCACATTTTCCCCTGCACATCAGTATGTGTTACAATGTGACAGAGTTACATATCGAGATGAAGATTTGAATATGCTCTTTGCATAGGAAAACTTATTCGTAAGAAAATGTTCTTTATATTCAATTCGTTGGATCCCGTCTCTAATCCTTGTGAACTAATCGTGCATACGTTCGCGTGCCAGCCGGTTGCGTTGTTGTTATGGTTGCGTTCGGTTATGTACTTTGCTATTCAATTTTCATCGAGTCGGAATACTGTCCCTACTCCATAATAAAACCCAAAAAAAATCCCTTACAAAAAAGGAAAGAAAGGAAAAAGGGATAAATTTCGCCCCTGGCGGACATTTCAAAACACGATAGCTGGCATATTTATTGGCCGTTGCACTGGGATAAGCCCCCCGTGTGTATTTATTTTTGCTTGGTAACGTCTGAAGAGGATGATCGGGTTTTGTGTAAACCAACGGCAGCAGTCGACTGCTTGGAATGTTCGCTAATCAAGCCCAGAATGGCCGCGATAATTAATGAGAATAGTTCTCTCCTGATGTTTTCCGACTTTCTTCCTATTTCTTAACGGGGAAATAAACGTGACCCAATGCAAGTCCAAGGTGAGAAGAGACATGTTACCGAGATACGAGAAAATTCGGCGAGAATGATTGCCGACTGTGTATATATACCTTTGGGACATGACGGCAGAAAGGCACGTCGTGACATTTTTCATGAAATATTTTTTTTCTAGTTGGGACCTATGAATCTATGTTTAGCAATTGCCACTTTGGGAACTGTTTATTGGAAACCACATTAGGCCTATTTTAGAAGAAAAAAAACCCAATGCAGAGCATTTTGCCCATATGTTGTATTTCAAAAACAGATCCACACGGGAAAAAGTTGCATGTCATTAATACAAAAGGAATAAAATATCAGAACCTGTTTTGTTATTCTTAGCCGTCTTTGTTTGCTTTGTTCAAATTGCACGTTTAGGGAGCTGTATGAAAACGCGTATTCTACGCTAAAACACAGCCGGGCATCTTCTTTCTTATTGAAGAGGGAACGCATTTCACCTGTTCAAGTTCCTAAGCTAAGGTGGCAGTTCATTTAATTTCGCCTTTATAGGTCGTATTTGAAATATGTGCTGATAGTTACGGCAGGAGGAATAACGGCTACGTCTGTCATCCGCATGTGTCCACGTATTTGTAATGGGAGAAGACCTGGACAACAGCTCTATACATGTATAGACTTGAAATCAAGTCGGTAATTGTCCAGGTGTAGTTCGCCCACTGTGCGCCCACCCACACAATTCGCGGCGTTGACAGATACAGCGTACCGGTACTAACACATGGTACGTTTAGCTATGGAGCTATAAAACACATACGGCACTAACTTGCGGGGACGCTTTGTGCATCCTCAGCCCCAATATACGTGTAGGGCGATACCAATGTCGAGGCCAGCAAAAGGTAAACACGATACACGGCGCCGTGCTAGTAAAGTATTTGGGCACCAACAGACAAAACACGCCTGTCTAGCGACTTGTCATCAAGTCTACTCTGGACACGGTCTTTGAGTCACACGGTATTAGTCTTGCAAAATTATTGTTTCCCAAATAATAATAGCCACTCTATATTATAGCGGGAGTACTTTACTGCATCACAAACGTAAGCAGCTTGCCGAGATATAGGCAAAATGACAGATCCACCATCACTCCTAGTATTTTCATACATATTTTACAACACCGTAGGGAGACTTAGATAATCCTGACGTTGGTTTACGTCCGCAGAGAGATAAATGACAGTTGACGGTAGGGTTTAATTTACGCGGAAACATGTTTATCTCGATCAGAAAGAATGAAATTCCCGCGCCAAAAATAGTTTTTGCCTTACGGAGCGATTGTTAAGGAGAGATCCTATTTGAGCATGAAGCTGTTTACAGTTAGAGATACAACATGTCGGGAAAAAAATTTACAACCGAAAAAATACAGTAAATTGAATATTACAAATTGAGCTTTTTATAATGTGGCAATAGATTGTACACAAATTGAAATGGCGCTACAATTCCTAAATGAAAAATAACTTAATAACAGCATTTTCAATTCTGTCCGTTTGCTATCCGTGCATATTAATGCACACTTAGTCCTGGCGTATTTGCACGAAACAAAGCAATGCCGCGGCGCAAATTCGTTGCTTTTGAAATTTGTAATATATTGAAATATTTGCCCATCCCCTGGGGCTGCGGTGCTCGTATTGAAATGTTTAATTACCAGGAAACTGTGTTTGCTTATACTAATGGCCGACGGAGAACCGAAGGTCACTCTCTCCATGTCTGTAGCAGTCGCTTCAGAGCGGACCTGAAAAGGACTGCAGCATGTCATTCCGCCTGTACCGATTACGTTAACCATGGACGAAGGAGCCTCCCTCCATGGTTAACCAATAAGCAATGTTGTAGTCGAGTACTCTGCCAGTGCAATGAGTATACGAGTACGAGTACTTTGCCATATGCACGAGCAGGTGTACTTTGCCATGAGTACAGGTATTCTTACCATGCCTCGAGTACGGGTATAGACTCCGCGTACATGTACTGTACAAGGACTTTTTCCATGAGTACATTCCCACGCGTTTGAGCACAATTTGATGGGTGCACTTATTTACTCTTGAGGGCGTCAGATTTGTCATTAACCATGGAAAACATACGAAACAGTGAGACGAAATGGACCTTTGAGAATTTAAGATCAAGCGAGAAGGAAACAAAAACCACCTATATGAGGTCATCTTCAATTACAGTAGCAGTTCTAGACGGAGGGTTGCCCCCCCCCCCCCCCCCCCCCCCCCCGTTCAGCCGCTGACTAATGTTATGATACCAGTAAACAGGGGGCAAAAATAATAAATGGAATACTTAAATTTCTAAATATATTCTCAAATTACCTTAAAATGTAGAAAAAAGCATCGAAGATTTCAAAATTGTCCGCCCCCCCCCCCTCCAGGCACGTCTTTACTCACCCCCCCCCCCCTCCCCGTTTTCTGAAAGCTAGATCCGGCCCTGAATATTTGAAATGATTTGAACAGGGGTGGATCTAGTTTTCAGGAAAAGGGAGGGGTGATATGAAGGGAGGCACGCCCCGCTAGGGCGGTCCGGTCATGCCCTGGAAAATTTTGAAATGTACGGTACTTACCATTGTGAGGAACGTTAACATTCCATTCATTATTTGTGGCCCCATTTCACTAGAATCATAACATTAGTCAGCGGCTGAAGCGGGGGGGGGGTGTTCACCCAAGATCCGCCATCATAGCAAATCATTTTTCAGAGGTAAATGCACGAAAACAAGTCATTTACTTCTGTTCACGCCATCTCCCTGAATTTCCTTTTCTTTTGTGTATCTCTTCTATCTTTGACTTATCAGATGTTTTGCATTCTTATAGCAATGGCTTGGAGGCGAGGCGGTGGTGTGTTCACAACCCGTGCCCTGCTCGCAAGTCGGATGCAGATCAGTACAATTGTTGTTTTCACCACGTCAATGTCCACTCGTGCCCTAAAGATAAGGTAAGTATCTCAACAGCGCTGTCAGTTCATCGTTGTGTATCATCCTCGACTGCGTTCCAGCAAGTTACTCGTGTCAAAGGTGTAACATTTGATCAGATTTCGGCAATTCCAACATTATGTAATGTCCGTGTCGGAGCTTTTAACAGATCAGTGAATAAACCTGAACTTGTATTTTCAAATCTTGTATATCCATCATCATAACGGTCAAGGAGATTACAGACTAGGAGTTTTGGATAAATTTCTTGAATGATTATTTAGATATTATAGCTAATGGCCTCTGTTTATAACGGACATTACAATTCCCTTCATAACCTTGGAATTGCCCATTTTGAGAGGAAAAAAATCATCTTTGAGATTGTCCACTTGCCTAACCAAGGACTTGCTCACAGGAAATCCACACAATGCCTTGCATTTACATGGAAAGCGAACAGAGAAGCCCGTTTGTGTACATCTGACGCAGCAGCGGGTTTTACGCCTTTGAAGAACCTTTTTAACTGAGAAACATATGTGCGACTAGAATGACGACTAATAGTTTTCGAGTCAAAAAGGCCGAAAGGTTCTCCTTTAATACGTGTTAGCAAGAGTATGACACGCGGAGACGGAGGAGTGTACTGTCGGTCAGAGTGGGAGAGCATTTATACACTTGCAGTTTCCAATATCTATAAACTAGATATATTAAGTTTGGCTTTGATGGTCTTTATTCGGCCCGCAAGACTGATTTTAACTGTCTCTGCGTCGTCAAATTGGCACGGAATGATCTAACAGCCCTACCCCGGATTCATATGTGATGGTTAAGGTGCAACCTCTACTAGCTGTACCCCCGGGATTTCACCAAAGGCTGTGCGTAATTAAAGCCTGGCGCACGTTTCGATTTTACCGGTTCACCGGATCACCGGGCCATCGTACAGAGGTGTGCACTGAAAATTCGGATCGATCTATATCTGATCGTACACTCGGCGACCGGATGAAATCAAACATGATTTGCTTTTTTTCGGATCCGATTTCACCGGATCCAATGTCATCGGAAAGGTGTGCGGGCAACACTCCGATTTCACCGCACGCGATAAATATGTTAACCAATCAGATTCACGAAGGAAATCACGTGATTCAAAACTGACGGCTGCCATTTTGTCGTCATCTGACTGGTCATCATGTGACTGGTCATCATGTGACCGATTATATAGAACAAAATCGGTGTGAGCCGGGCTTCACGGAGACTGTATTTATCACACTGCTAGCTTGGTATGGGCATGGAGGTAGGAAACATGACGCTTGTAAAACTATTATGGGATTGGACAAGTTTCCAATCCTATATGCCGCCCACCCCTACTTCTAATCAAGCTATGGATTTTATTGATATAACCTCCGTTTTCGTCCACCTCGTGGTAACTAACTTTCCTTCGTCCACTGCACGCTTCACTGCTCCACTGCTCCTAGCCACGCGTCATTAGATAAATCTTTAATAGACGTCCTTGCTAGTTCTTCTCTCTGGAGTTTGTTAACCTCCCCCTACTGTGTAGCTGCGTCGAACCTCACTCCAGCTTTCTACCGTCGTTTTGAAACTTTAATACCGGCCACATCCCCGCCTCGATTAATTGAAAGTACTACCGCACGTCCCTGTCAAATTAATTGCTCTGACTTGAGTGTCTTCAATTTCAGCGTGAAACGGCAAAATGCCTTTCTTTTTTTGGCAATTTACTCCGACACGTTTTTTAATTATCGATTCCACTCGCCGAAGCAGAATGTAGGGCCCTGTAAACTGTAGAAATTCATTTTGTACAGAAATTGTGAGCAAAATTGGTGTGGTGGAGAGGAACGAATTTCGGTATTGAATGAGGGTGGATATTGTAGTGTTTGTACCATGGCATTATGGGCTCAATTGTAGGGCTTGTATTTTTGAGTGCTCTGGCGCTGTGGCGATTATTCTATGCTTTTGCAGCATCCATTGAGTAAGGGAAGATTGGTGTAAAGATTTTATATAGATGACAGTGCAGCTTCTGTTTCTGCATGGATAGTTCAATGGTATACCTGGGGCTGTCTAGTGCCTTAGACGGACCTGTCACCTATTAAGGGGAAGGTAGGGATAGAAAGCAGCATTTTGGTATCAAGGTCGTCTTCAAATAATTCGATTTTCAAGCTCTCCAATAGTGGTGTTTTCGTAAAATTAAATCCATATTGAGGAAGGAAGAATGGACGACTGATGCTTGTTAAAAGAAAATAATAACCAAAGTTCAGGTGATTTTGATACAATTGCGGTCGTATAGTACATTGCGTTAAATGAAATTTTCCAAGTGAAAAAACCCTTCCGCACTATGATACGCATAATACATGTATGTACGCTAGTGTTTGGTTTTTGTTAGAAAGAAATATAATACATTACAATAAATCATAACATATGTTATTAAATATAAAACGAGTAGTAATTTGCATCAAACATGAAGGTACATGAATAAATTTACATCCAAGAAAAAGACTAGCATTTTATAGAAGAGGCACACAAGAGTATAAATTATCAGTCAATATAAGAAAAGAAAACTAAAAATGTGTTTGTGGACAAACACAAGCTGTTTTGGACAACCCGGTATTGGAACATATCAAGCTACAACTAAATCGAACCTATATAGTTCTTTTGATTTAGGCCTTAGAAAAGTACCCCTTTAATGTGTCGTCACATGACTTGTGATGACGTCATCATGGCGTCTCGTTAATTTTCATCTATAACACGGCCTTACGTAAGTACCTACAAAGATTCAACCCAATCAGACTTGTACTTCAGAAGATAGAAGGTTTTGAAAAATGAATATTTAATGTGACGTAATTTGATACCTGATGACGTCATGATGACGAAAATCCTCGTGGACCATCCGCGGGTAGTGTTTCATGTGTGTACGAAGTCTGAAGTCGGTCAGATGTACGAAGGTGGCAAAGTGTACTGGTTGAAGGAAAACGTGTACAAAACGTATGGAGAAAAAACCACACCTTTAATGTGACGTAACTTGACGTCAGCTTGACGAAAATCTTCTAGGTCCATCTTATGTTGTGGTCTCAGTGTATGCTCAGTCTGAAGTCGACCGGACGTACGAAAGTGCCAAAGTATACCCATGGGGAGGAGTCTGAAAAACGAGGGGGAAAAGAAGGGGGGGGGACTTTAACGAAAACAAGAGCTGTTTTGGCAGATTTGCTGAAACAGCTAAAAATAAATCACACTGATGAAACCTGCTCCATATATTGATTCTGAATGGGTGTTTGCGTTATCAGACAGATAACGAGATTTGGTCAAGAGTGAAGAATAACATTGATTTTGTATTCAGCTCACACGCGAATTTCATCAGCTCATGCTCCGGGATGCACGCTGAATTAACCAGCTCACCAAACATTTTTCTTTCCAGTCGAGGTAATTATCCGAAGAAATCAACTGCTTGATTCGTTCCTAGCCAACTCATGAATAGCTTGACTTGATCCCCCATTGCATCCCTGTGTTATGAAACATTCACGGCCTGGCTTCCTGCCTGGACATGCTCCGACGGTATACAGCGGTGAACTGTTCGTTGCCTCGGTACCAGGGGGAGCGTTCAGCTTCATGTCCCTGCCTGTTTCTCCTCGGGGGTCCAGTCCCTCGGTTGATTCGATTAATCCTAATCAGAAACCCCAAATTCGCAATTTGCAATGCAAATGCTGTTTTGATAGCATTTGTAACATATTTCGTGCGCTTGACTGCTCTGTATTGTGCGTTACGGCCCTCTAATTTGCCACGTAATGAAGGCCTGACATATGGTCCATGCAGAAGTGCGAAGTGCTGCATACCAAAATCGTCAAGCTGACTGGCAAAAAAAATGTGCTGTTTTCTCTACTGTTATTAAAAGTCAAAGTATTCGCATGTGTATCACAAGTATGTATTAGTCTGCCAAAATCGTAATTCCAAACTGCAATAAATGTTTCTCGGTACGATTCTTTTTTAACGTCGAAAACTTGCCCACTTTGCCCATGCAGTTGAGACCTCGATTGAAGTTAAAGTCACGCTCAAAATTCAGAAAGTTTTATATTGGGGGGAGAACGTCTCTCGTCGAACGATTGTCTTGTAAGTCGTCATCGCGAAACGTTTCGACATTGGCTTCCTGCTGTCAGAGTTTTAACGAGTCTCTGCATTTTGTTATTCGTGTCGAGTCCAGTCATTTTAAGGAAGTGACTCGAGTCGAGTCGAGTCATAAGGTCATGATGGAGGTCGAGGCGAGTCGAGTCAAAATTACGCTCGAGTCAATTCGAGTCACTGATATTTGAACACCATCTATTACAGAATGGAAGAAGGAACACAAGACACCAGTTTATTATGAAGATCCAAAAACTTAAAATATGCTGCGTGGTACCCAATAGACAGCTTCTGCTGGACGTACCAAAGATCTACATAACAGTTAACAAGAAGTGAAACTTTGGTTTTATCTTTGGTTTGGCTTCAGGTCTGGAATATTTTTTACAACATCAAAACCAAATTGCAACATATGAAACTGTTTCTGATTATATAAAAATATATCTAATTACTTTTTGAAAGCTGGACATACATTTATCCGGACTCCCAAGTGTTCAAGAAATTGCCCGAAGATGATGATGGTGAAACCAAGAATTGGGAAATGCATTTAAAGTCTGGTTCCGGGATGGTATAGTTTTTTGCGCTACATTTTAAAACCACCAACGGAGGTGGGGTTTATTTTGTGGGAGTCGAGTCCGTGATACGGCGTGTATTTGTACGCCATAAGCGGCCACGAACTTGACGGTAAAGCAAAGTACGCGACCTGAATAAGTTCGTACCGTAAGTCACTGCAAATGATATTTTCGGACACTCAAGTGTTATTAGCCGTCGACTCGAGTCGAGTCGAGTCATTTGCTCACAGTGAATCGAGTCGAGTCACCAAAAATTGTGACTCGAGTCGGACTCGAGTCGAGTCATTGACTCGAGTTATTACAACTCTGCCTGCTGTATATCACGGTGCTCGGATAGTGGTAACCAACGATGAGACTGACCTCGGTATATTTGTTCCGACTACCCGACTAGACTGGTGCAACCATGGCACGCCCCTAACTAAGTTTCTCCCCACTTTTGTGCCTATCTGAATACATTTTACTGGCCCTTATTGTTAACTAGCCAAAATCTCCTGTACTCAATATGTACGTCCACCTCACGGAATATTTTTAAAAATCAAATAACT